CCTCTGGAATATCAACCCTCTGGAAATTAGACTGTCCCCAACTCTCACTCTTTCAGAAAGCCCTGAAGACAGGTTTCTGCCAGCAAACCTGGGGAACCCAGAGTGGGATGGAGCCCCTTAAATGACTGGTATTCAATGTGTTTTGTCACTCGGGGGAGGGGGAGTTATTTTATTTATATTTATGTTGTGTTTTTGTTTCAGGTAAGTTGCCCTGAGCACGTAGGCAATAAAAATTTCCAAATAAATAAATAATCAGATCTTCAGGGAAATAGACAGTTGATGTTAGGTCAGTCCTAAAATACTGCTTTACTGATGATAGCTATGTCCATATTTCCCTTTCCTCCTGGGCGCTGGTTGCAGCAATTAAATTGATGGTGTGAGATCTTGAGAAGACAAAAAGTATTAGGCATCTTTACCACTGATTACTGGACTCACTGGAGAAGAGCCTAATGCTGGGAAAGATTTGAGGGCAAAAGAAGAAGGGGATGACAGAGTGTGGTGGTGGGATGGAAGCAGTAGGTGCGAGCTTAAATGGACTCCAGAGGATGGTAGAGGACAGGAAGGCCTGGAGGAACATTGTTCATGGGTCACGATGGGTCAGACACAACTTCGCAACTAATAACAACCACTGATTAAAGCAGAACTGGAGTCATTGTTTCAGTGGTGCAGTACGATACAGCATAAAACGTGAACTCATGCCTCACTCAAGTGCTTTGAGTAAAAGTGCTTGGTTTTTTTTCCTTTCTACAGTTGCAAAAGTTGTAAATGCATGAATTTTTTACATTTTCATCACCATAACACTGAATGGTTGCTAAACAAGACAATCGTAAACAAGGACTACCTATATAGTGTCCTCTTGCTATTGTAAGAAAAGATTTCCCATCAGATTGATATGAATGCTGCTAAAAAGTCCCAATCCTTGTTCTATCTCTTACCAAATATTTTAAACAGTACAGCAAAATCTTTTCAGCCATTAAAACTCATTCAGGATTATCAGGATACAGATCATTAAACAAATCAGGGATCTATTTTGCTTACCAAGACAATCACTGATTATAAATTTCTTCTACTCTCATATTTTACAATTTAAGAGAAAAGCTATGTGTTTCTCTGCATGTTGCAGATGCACCACTACTCTGCTGTTCGTCTCATACTTTCCTGGTGTATCCTCAAATGTAGTTGGGATTGGTCAAGATTTCAGTTTCATAATGGCATGTGGGAATGATCTTGGGGAAAGAGGAAGAGATGCTGCCTAGGAAACAATCAGATGAGAAGTAGGAACTTTCTGCCTCTCATCTGTGACTTAATAGTCAGAGAAACTTCAAAAGGCCCACCCTAAGGGATCAAGCAGTTAAAAGTGGAGATAGGAAGTTTTGTACTTTCAGACTTGAAAGAGTGGTGTCAGTCCTTGCAGGTATACCAGACAGGAAATACTACTAGATGAGCTAAATATACAATTACAACATTTAGAAAATCTTGCAAGTCTGGAAGTACAAAACATCTCCACTTAACTGCTTGATCCATTAACTTCTCAATGAACCACAACTCAGGAAATTACAACCTAGTGTTGCATGGATTGAGTCCACATATATGTGAGATACATAATAGTGATTATGTGCAGGAAAATAATAGGTCTGTGACTAAAAAGCTGTTTGATTATTTTCATCTAATTTTCATGTATTTTGGTGTGCTGAAAACAAAATATTGAAAAACTCCTGGACATCATGATTTGCCACAACATGCAAAATTGTCTTGAAATTTATCAATTTTTTTTAAATTTTTGGTATTTTTTTA